TGCAAAAGGAATGAACCGCAGCCCGTCCCTTGCCCCTTATACCAAAATTCACCCAAAATGGATCATAGACCAAAATGTAACTCCAAAACTTCTAGAAGAAAACAGAAGAGAAAATCTTTGTGACTGGGGTTAGGCAGAGCTTTTTAAATTTTTATTTATTATTAAAAAAATTTTTTTTTAATATTTATCTATTTTTGAGACAAAGAGAGACAGAGCATGAATGGGGCAGGGGCAGAGAGAGAGACGGAGACACAGAATCTGAAGTAGGCTCCGGGCTCTGAGCTGTCAGCACAGAGCCTGATGCAGGGCTCGACCTTACCAACCACAAGATCATGACCTGAGCCGAAGTCGGACGCTCAACTGACTGACTAACCTGACAATGAATAGCCAACCCAGGTGCCTCAGTTTATTTACTTATTTGTAAAGTTTATTTATTTGTTTTTGAGAGAGTAGGGGAGGGGCAGAGGGAGAGGGAGAGAGAGAGAATCCCAAGCAGGCTCCACACTGTCAGCATGGAGCCCAATATGGCACTTGAACTTGCGAACTGGGAGATCATGACCTGGGCTGAAGTCGGACGCTCAACCGACTGATCCACACAGGTGGCCTGGCAGAGCTTTTTTAAACATGGCATCACATACTAACTATACAAGAAAAAGCTAATACATTGGACTTCATCAAAATTCAAAACTTCTGCTCTGCTAAAGACACTGTTATGAGATGAAAAGACACAGACTGGCAGATAACCTTGGCAGAACACATAACTGATAAAGGACTTGTATCTAGAATATATAAAGAACTCTCAAGAGTTGAGAAGAAGAAAGCAAACACTAACCCCCCCCCCCAGAAACCTAGCAAAATAGTGGCATAGCCATTTCATCAAAGAAAATATATGGGAAGCAAATAAGCCCATAAAAGACGCTGAACATGATCAGTTATTAGGGAAATGCAGATTAAAAGCCCAGTGAGACCCAGGACACTCCTACTGGAATAGCTAAAAAGAGAGACCACACCAAGTACCGGCGAGGATGTAGCAAAACCAGACCCCCCCTATGCTGCTGGTGGGGTGGTGAAACGCCACAGCCATTTGGAAAATAGTTTGGCAGATTCTTATACAGTTAAGCGTCAATTTATCATACAACCCAGAAATCCCACGCCTACACATATTTATCTAAGAGACATTAAAATGTACAAAAGCTTATGCATAAAAGTTTCTAGTGGCCTTATTTATATAATCACCCCAAGCTGGAAGCGACTGAAATGGTCTTCAATGGCTGAGTGGATCGACAAACTGTGGTACATTCCTCAAATGAAATCCTACTCAGAAGTAAACAGGAATGAACTACAGAGACACTGAAGGATAGAGAAGATCTCCGATGCATTACGCTAAGTGAAAGAAGCCAGACTCAAGGCTACTTACTGAAAGATTCCATTTGTATGGTGTTCTAGAAAGAGCAAAACAGCAGGGACGAGAAGCAGATCAGTGGTTGCCAGGGATTGCGGTGGAAGGAGGGGGGATACAAGGGAAGCCTCTGTGTGTGTGTGTGTGTGTGTGTGTGTGTGTGTGTGAGGGGGTATCAGAAATATTCCCTATATTGATTGTGGTGGTGATTTCATGACAGTATATATTTTTTAAAATTCATAGAACTGTACACTAGAGAGAGAGCTTCCTTGTATGCAAATTATACCCCAGCCAAACAAAACAAATAAAAATAATAAAAAAAAATAATAATAATAAGCCAACGTAGCCCACATACTAGGTGCCAGGCACTGTTCGAAGTACTGCACACACATTTACTCACTCTGAGGCAATATCCTGACGGTCATCCACATCGGCTTCAAGGAACACCATGTTGGAACATTTTTTAGAGAGGGAATGGAGAAAGGATGGGTCATTTTGCAAGGCCCACAACATGTGGATGAGAAGTCAACTGTTGCAAGTGTATCTCCTGCAGTGTTCAAGCCTTCCTAAAAAGCGTACTTGCTCTCGATCTGCTTCACCCTTTTGGTGGCTGGGGTCTGACAATTGTAAAAACTGATAAAAGGGGATCCAAACCACCATACAGAGCTTAGGAAATAGTACATCTGACACGAGATCAAGGAAGTAAGTGTCCAGGATGATAAAGGGAGGTCCCGGGACAATAGCTATGCATTAAGCCTACGCAACAATCAATCCAGATTGCTAGGACAAAAGACTTCAGTGGGAAAAATTGAGGTTGATAGACTCTGACAGGGCTGACTCTGTCAAAATTTTACTGAGAGATATTTAAGAAAACTATCGGATATTATAGGAAGACTTAAACCATAGGTTCAAGGAAAACTAAGAAAATGGGAAAAGTGACACAGTTGTTAACTCCAGGAGAAACAAAAATTTGAACAATTTTTTGTCCAAAGGAACAAGGAAAAGAAATCATAGTGCACAATACTTTTGTGGCCAAAATATAAAAACACTGAATATGAATTTAACAAAATATAATTTAACTATATTGGTAAAATGGGAGAGGAAAGACATCTATAAAAAAATAAAATCATTCCAGGGGCACCTGGGTGGTTCAGTTGGTTAAACGTTTGACTCTTGGTTTCAGCTCAGGTCATGATCTCATGGTTTGCGAGTTTGAACCCTGAATTAGGTTCCATGCTATCAGCTGATAGCATGGAGCCTGCTTAGGATTCTCTCTCTCCACCTCTTCCTCTGCCCCTCCCCTGCTCATGCTCTCTCTCTCTCTCTCTCAAAATAAATAAATAAACATTAAAAAAATCATTCTAACATAGTAAGTCAATAAATGATGTCTGAAATTGATGATTTTAGGATATATATAGGGAGAGAGGTTTTGCCTTTTTTTTTTTTTTTTCAATTTGGAGATAAATGCTAGAAGTGATCACTAAAAATTTGAAAAGTGTTACCTCTCTGGAGGAGGTAGGTAGGACTGTCAGGTAGTAAGGGGCATGGCATGGGTGGTGTGGGTTAATTATAAGCCTTCTAACATAATAACATAATTTCTTACGTTCCCTATCTTAATTTTACTTGAATTTAATTCTTGTTTTACTGAAGAACAACCTCCAGTAACTCTTTCAAATATGGCCTATGGGTGAAAAAGTCATTTAACCTTTTATCCTCCAAGATTTGTTGCGGGAAAACTCACTCTTTTCAGGCATATATTTTTATGATTTTTGAGAAACTTACACAGTCACATAAGCACCACCATAATCAAGAGAGAGTATTTTCATCACCACAAATTGTTCTCTGGTTCCTTTTTGTAGTCAGTTTCCTCCCCACAAGCTCCTGGCAACCACTGATCTGGTTTTTCTGTCCCTATGTATTTTGCCTTTTACAGATGTCATATAAATGGAATCAAATAATGTATGGCCTTTTGAGTCTGAATTCTTTTACTAAGCATAATGCTTTTGAGAGTCATCCATAGTATTGCATTTCTGGAAACCAAAGGTATAGTTGATCATCAGTCGTCAATGCTATTCATCCAATACTTACAGTCATGTGATCGGATTGCACTTCCTGGCTCCTTCCTACCTGGGTGAGGCCATGCTCTAGGCAATGAATTGTGAGTGCATCTCACTTCTGGGCTGGACCATTTCACTGACAAAGTGAGACCTATTGAGCTTTCTCTTCCTTTCTGCCACCACGATGGGCAACATTCTAGATGGTGGCTGCAATGTCAGCCTGAGTCTTGGAGTGACTACAACCAGCAGAGCCCATTGCCGACCTGTGATGGACACACAGCAAATACGTAGGGAGCTTGAGCCAAAAAACACACCTTTGTGTGTTGAAATTTGGGTGTGGTTTGCTATCACAGCACAATCAGCCTATATTGATCCATACAGAATGCTTATATTTTAAGCACTGGAAAATTTTCTTTTACTTCTTCTTCTTCTTTTTTTAATGTTTATTTATTTTTGAAGGAGAGAGAGACAGAGCATGAGCAGAAGAGGAGCAGAGAGAGAGGGAGACACAGAATCTGAAGCAGGCTCCAGGCTCCG